CACTTGCATTTAGTAGTGTATATGAATCACATGATTACCCTAATAAAATACTAACATTAAAACGAAATGATGCCTCCTTGGGTGAACCAGGAACCAGCAAGACAGCAACAGTCTTAAGTCACTTCCTCATAGAAACTACGGGGCGGTTTCCTGGACACCTGAAAACTGCCCTATGGGTCTGTCTGAACAGTTACTTCCTCATCTCCTTTCCTTAGTCTGTCTCCTCTCCTCCTCTCTTCTCTGCTGATCCTCAACACAGGGGCCCGCCCCCAGGTGGTGGAGGTAGGCAACAACACCTCCACTACGCTGATCGTCAACAGGGGCCCCACAAGGGTGCGTGCCCAGCCCCCTTTCCTGTACTCCCTGTGCACCCATGACTGCGTGGCCACGCACGTCACCATCTCAATCATCAAGTTTGCTGATATTCACAACAGTAGTAGGCTTGATTACCAACAACGATGACACCAGCCTACAGAGGGGAGGTGAGGGCTCTCGGAGTGTGGTGTCAGGAAAATAACCTCCCACTCAACGTCAACAAAATGAAGGAGTTGATCGTGGATTAGAGGAGACAGTAGAGGGAGAACACCCATATCGACGGGGCCGCGGAGAGGGTCAAAATCTTCACGTTCCTTGGCGTGCACATCACTGAGGACCTGAAATGGTCCCTTCACACAGACAGCACGGTGAAAAAGGCGCAACAGAGCCTCTTCAATCTCAGGAGGCTGAAGAAATTTGGCTTGGCCCCTAAGACCCTCATGAACTTCTACAGATGAACCATTGAGAGCATCCTGTCGGGCTGTATCACCGCCTGGTACGGCAACTGCACCGCAGGGCTCTCCAGAGGGAGCCCAATGCATCCACATTTTGTTGTGTTGCAAAGTGGGATTAAAATGGATTACATTTTTACAAAATGTCAACGATCTATACAAAATACTCTGTAAAGTCAAAGTTGGAAGATACATTTAAAAAAACTTTTTTGTATTCATGGAAAATAAACACAAATATATCTTGATTAGATACTGTAAGTATTCAACCCCCTGAGTCAATACATGTTAGAATCCCCTTTGGCAGCCATTAAACCTGTGAGTCTTTCTATGTAAGTCTCTAAGAGCTTTGCACACCTGGATTGTAAAATATTATTGTACAAAAATATTTACGTAGAAAAAATTATTCAAGCTCTGTCAAGTTGGTAATTTATGGTAGTATTGTGGAGTAACTACAATGTTGCTGATCCATCCTCAGTTATGTCCTATCACAGCCATTAAACTCTGTGATCACCATTGGCCTCATGGTAAAATCCCTGAGCGGTTTCTTTCCTCTGAGTTAGGAAGGGCGCCTGTATCTTTGTAGTGACTGGGTGTATTTATACACCATCCAAAGTGTAATTAATAACTTCACCATGATCAAATGGATATGTAATGCCTGCTTTCTTTCCCCATCTACCAACAGATGCTCTTCTTGGCGAACCATTGGAAAAACCTCCCGTTTTTTTGTAGTTTAATCTGCGCTTTAAATTCACTGCTCAACTGAGGGACCTTACAGATAATTATATATCTGTGGGATACAGAGATGAGGTAGTCATTAAAAAAGCATGTTACACTATTATTGCACACAGAGTGAGTCCATGCAACTTATTATGTGATTTGCCATAACAAAAGGGTTGAATGTTTTATTGACTTTTCATTTTTAATTAACTTCTTCTTCTTCTAAAAACATAATTCCACTTTGCCATTATGGGGTATTGTGTGTTGATCAGTGACACAAAATCTCAATTTCATGTAATCCATTTTAAATGCAAGCTGGAACACAACAGAATGTGGAATAAGTCACGGGGTGTGAATACTTCCTGAAGGCTCTGAACATACTGAATAAGTCACGGGGTGTGAATACTTCCTGAAGGCTCTGAACATACTGAATAAGTCACGGGGTGTGAATACTTCCTGAAGGCTCTGAACATACTGTATAATAATATAATAATAATATAATATGCCATTTAGCAGACGCTTTTATCCAAAGCGACTTACAGTCATGCGTGCATACATTTTTGTGTATGGGTGGTCCCGGGGATCGAACCCACTACCTTGGCGTTACAAGCGCCGTGCTCTACCAGCTGAGCTACAGAGGACCACAAGTCACGGGGTGTGAATACTTCCTGATGGCTCTGAACATACTGTATAAGTCACGGGGTGTGAATACTTCCTGAAGGCTCTGAACATACTGTATAAGTCACGGGGTGTGAATACTTCCTGATGGCTCTGAACATACTGTATAGTCACGTGTTAACTACTCCGAAGGCCCTATTGAATCCTACTGTCATAAGTACGGTGGTAAGTGATTACTACCTGATGGCTCTGAACATATGTATAAGTCCACTGGGTGTGAATTACTTCCTATATGGCTCTACATACTGTTATAATCACGGGGTTGAATACTTCTGAAGGCTCTGACTACTTATAATGTCACAGTGGTTAATACTTCCTGAAGGCTTCTGAAATATGTATAATCACTGGGGTGTGAATACTTTCCTGATGGCTCTGACATACTGTATAAGTCACGGTGTGTGGATACTTCCTGATGGCTCTGAACATACTGTATAAGTAACGGGTGTGAATATTCTGAAGGCTCTGAACTACTGTATAAGTCACGGTGGTGTGAATACTTCCTGAAGGCGAAATACTGTATAAGTCACGGGGGTGATACTGGTAATTCTAGTCCATCCTATATAACTACTGCCTGTACACACAACCTTTTCTAGTCAATCACTGTCGCATACACTGTCTTAGACACACCATTACTATATATATATATATATAATATTAATATATATGAATATAGATATAATATATATAAATATATATATATTATTATTATTATTATATTATTTTAAAAAAAATTCTGGTCTCATTGCTAGTTCTGATATTTCTTATTTTCTTAATGTATTTTTTCTGGATTATATGTTTATAATTTTTTATTGTTAGATATTACTGCACTGTTGGAGCTAGACATGCAAGCATTTTGCTGCGCCTGCGATAACATCTGCAAATCTGTGTACGTGACCAATAAACATCGATTTGATTTAATTTTGTTATTTGACTCTTATTTGACTCTCATTTTTTTCAGATGGGTAATTTTGGATGTGCTAGATTTGGGGAGGGACGGAAGGTACTCTTAAATTAAATATGTGTGGGGACTGGCGACAACATCAAAACAGCTTTAAAACCCATCTGGCTGATGAGAGAGAGGCAGCTGTCGAGTGTGAAGACACACCGAAAAACACACACACCACTACACGATACAGACACATATTTTATCTTTCCATGGGTCAGGTAAAAAAGGTCAAATGCATTTTGCCTTCACTGGATGCATAAATAGGCTACATGCATGAAAATTATAAACACTGAGACCATGTATGCAGCTAATCTCAAATAAACTGAGCTGCCAGTGTCCGCTAACACTGGCCACACACTGAAACAGCCGTCATGCATTACAGCCAGGCTACATTTTCCCCGTTACAACCAGTCTACATTTCCCATTAAATGTCAGGCACTGCGTCTGTCTGCACCAAAAAGAAAAAAAAAAGAAAAAAAAAACTCTGGCTTCTGAGAACCTCAGTCTAAATCAACGGATCGGCTCCGGCTCAGTGTGCAACGCCAGTTTACAGCAACGCTACTACTACTAGCTGTTACACAAATTGGACCTTGAGTAGGCTAGCCTTGCCTGGACAGATGCGCTCGGGTCTCACCGGCCCACGTTATCGTTTCGAATATTAGCCCAGCAGTGAAATGTGAACGAAGTCCAAGCCAGGATTGGATGACATCACGTCTGTGAGAGTGGAAAATATTTTTTATACGTAGCGGTAGCCATGAAAACAGACGCTGGTCTCGCCGGCCCCCGCCGGGGTGTTTTGCTGTTTTGTGAGGGCAGCGTGTGGAGAACAGTGGGGGGGCGGGGCGCCGGGGAGAAGCAGCCAAGGAAAGAGAACGGCACGCCGGAAGCAGCGCGCACGGCCAGACAGGCGCGAGCGCTGGTGCGCGCGGGCGGGCGGGCGCGCGGGGGCGGCCGCGGGCGGGGGGCGGGCGGGCGGGCGGGCGGTCTGGCGGGCGGGGGGGGCGTGCGGGGCGGGCGGGCGGTCGGAGGGGCGGGCGGGCGGGCGTGCGGGCGGGCGGGCGGGCCGGCGAGGAGCGGCCACAAAAAGCCGCGCCCGCCATATACCCAAGCTATGGTGCCACACTACAATAGAGGAGACATCAACTCATGAAGTCCTGAAGCTATTGAGAAGCAATGACGTGAGACTGGGGTAAAAAGGTTGTCGGTAAGATAGGTGGGAGAGTGGTGCAGGGGGTGGGAAAGTGAAGGGGGGGGTGTGGTGTTGGAGTGGAGAGGGGGGTGCGTGGGTATAACTGTGTGTAGGGAAGGGATTTGAGGTTTTATTTTGGTGTTAAGTTAATGAGGGTTGTAAAGCAAGGGAAAAGGGCCAGTTGGCCTTGGCCTTGTGCGAAAAGCCGGAAACAGTTCATAGGAGCAGATCTACTTTTTTGGAGTGTGAGGTAGCTTGATGTAGAAGTTCATCCCCTGGACAGGAAGCTAGTTCATCACAGCCCCAAATCTATCTCCTTAATGCTGAGACACATCGGGCCCTATTTTTACAGTCTTTGGTATGACTCAGCCAGGGATCGAACTCACAACCTTGTAATCTCAGAGCGGATACTGAACTGGTGGGAAAGTGTAAGCAAAACAATCCCTCGTGAAAAGCTGACAGAAAAAAAAAAAAAAAAACGATAAGACTACTGGTGAAACCAGACACACACATGAGACCAGACGGACAGATTCACTGTTGGTCATGTACCAGGGGGTTATACCAGGTGACACAGAGAAACAGGTGAGCAGAGGAGAGGAGGACGAGAGGAGGAGAAAAGAGGAGATGGGTTTCATAGGGTGGGTGAGAAAGAGGAAGAGGAGGGGTTTCAGACTAGTTCTTCATCCCCTAGTTCGTCACCATCTTACCTCCATACTTGTCCCATCTGGAAGATGTGTATGAGGGTCTGCCACAGCCACACAGAGAGCAGGCAGCACCTGTCCCTTCCCTGCGCTCTCAGCCCTGCCGTAGCTCTCCGGTTGCTCAGCCCCTCCACAGAGCCCAGACCGCCCCCGGTGTAATCCTGCACGAACCACCTGAAGCTCAGGATCTGGACCAGCACCGAGGGCACCAGCACCAAGAAGAGGGTGAGTCCGGACCAGAGGTAGTCGTGCTTGTGGTAGTAGTCGATGGCCAGCGCCAGGTCTGTCCCCACGTCCCAGAAGAACACGAACAGGGCCAGGATGATCCACAGACAGTCCAGCCAGAGGCGCTCCTCCTGCGGCGGCCGCCCCGGCCCTGCGTCCCCTTGTCCTCCCCCGCCTCTCCTCTTGTCGTGGAGGTAATGCAGACAGGCGCTCCGGCAGCCCCAGTAACAGGACGAGGTGTTGCAGCAGTGGCAGATGTGGAAGGAGCTGCCTTCCCTCGGGTCGCCCTCGCCGGTCCCCACCACCTCGTCCAGGTTGTGCAGCTGGGCGAATCCCCGGACGACCCCCCGACCATCGGATTTTGCTGCCATCTTTCTCTCTGCTGAAGCGTCTCACACCTCCGGCTTCCGGGGTTCGTGACGACACTTCCCTGACACCTGTTTTTCCGAGTGTCAAATGTGTGAGCCATCTAAAAGCGGGGAGGCAGTGCGGCAGCGTCACCGGGTCGGTCCCCAGACTGTGTCCAGGCGGTAGCGTCACGGACACAACCCATCTTCTCTCCTGGTGTGTAGTCTGTTACGGCTGAAGAGGAGAGGAGGCAGCCTGGCTTCGCCTGGCTACAACGGGTTAATCCACCGTTAAATCAAATAGGCCGCTACTACGCTGGTGTATTCCTTACCTGTACATAATAATCCATCTATCTATCTATCTACTAGAGCCTCTCACAGCCTCATCATCCAGTGTTTTCCGAAAATTCTGCAGCAGCTCTCCCTCTCCCTCCTTCCTTCCCCAGCTGCAGCGCTGAATGCTACGAGCTGACCGTCCTTCCTAACTCTCTGTCCCACGACTACGTAATTCATCCCCCTCCCTCTCTCCCTTTCTCTTCCTCTTTCTCTCTGTCTCTCTCTCTCTCTCGCTCTCTCTCGCTCTCTCTCGCTCTCTCTCTCTCTCTTCCTCTGTCTCTCTCTCCTCTCTCTCTCTGCTTCTCTGTCCCTCCTCTCTCTTCCCCCCCTCTCTCTCTCTCTCTCTGTCTCTCTCTCTCTCGACTCTCGTTCCCTGTCCCCCTCTCTCTCTCTCTCTCCCCTCCTCTCTCGCTCTCTCTCTCTCTCTCTCTCCTCTTACTCTGTCCCCTCTCTCGCTCTCTTGTTCTCTGTCCCTCTCTCTTTCTCTCTCTCCCCCCCTCGCTCTCACTCTCTCTCTCTCCCTCTCCCTCTGCTAAACGTGGTTGCCACCTAGTGTTTTGTTTAAAGCCCCAAATATGGAAGAAGAGTGCTGCATGATGTAGTGCTGCGTTTGGCACGGGGTGTGTGTATTTATTAACCCCTGTGTTCTGTTCACATGGATCAAATGATAGGGTCCAATGAGCTCTCTGTCTGATATGATGAACCAATCATGAAGAGTCCACGGTTGACAAGGCTTGGAACATATGGCTAAAGAGTTCATGTTAATTTGACATTTATGGCGTAAGCTGAAGTGAGAGAAGAGCCACAGGGCGTAGGCTAAAATTAATCCAATCAAATGTAATTATTTCAGAAATATATTGATCAATAATTTGGTGAATAAATAATATATTAGAACAGTTCTCTAGTTGAGAAACACCATTAAGTTATATTTTTTTGTGGCATTTCTGCAGTTAGGCTTTAAACATTACATCTCATCTGTGTGCTGATGGCATTAAAGCCTTGGCTGAAAGCGACGTTCATCCCTGTAGATGCTACCCTGGTGGCAGGTAAAGTTTGTGGCGTTCCAGACAGGAATGCTGTGATTATGAGACATGAGACAAACTGTTTATTTTGTGCCAGTGAACGTCTCATCTCCACGCTGAGTGCTGCGTGTTGAAGGGAGCTGTCCACTGCTGAAGTGGTGAAAGGGAAGCGTTGTCCACTGATGTGAGTGGTCTGAAGGGAGCTGTTCCACATGCGTTGAAGTGGTGGGGGTGCCGAAAGGGAGAGGTACACTGATGTGAAGCGTGTTGGGAAGGAGCTGTCCAAGTGATTGAAAGTGGTGCTGAAAAGGGGAGAAGGGGGAGGGGGGAGAGGGGAGGCGAGGAGAAAGAAAGATAAGAGGCAAGAAGAAAGATAAGCAAAGCAAGGGAAAGAAGGAAGAAGAAGTACGACCGAACGAAAGCAAGACGCCAGGCCGAACGAAAGAAATGGAACGAACGAAGGAACGGACAGAGAGAAGGAAAGCAAAGAAAGACAAGACGGAGGGCAAAAAGAAGGCAAGAAAAGACAGAAGACGGAAACGACAGAACAAGGAAGCAGGGGAAAGAAACGCCCCGAAGACGACCGAAAACAAGAAAGAAGAAGGAAAGAAAGAAAGGACAGGAACGACAGAGAGCAAGCAAGGGACGCAGGAGACAGAAAGCACGCAAAGACAAGGGAAAGAAGCAAAGAAACGACGGCACGCACGAACGAAGTAAAGAGAACGAAAACACATGAGAACGCCGGCCCGCCCTCAATAACTGAAAGCAAGCAGGAAATAAGACCCTCCCGCCCGGTCCTCCTTCCAACCTCCCTCACCGTCCTCCTACTGCCTCCCGCCCGAACCTCCTTCCCCTCCGCCCTCACCTCCTTACAGCCCTCCCCTCCCTTCCTTACATTCCTTACACATGCACATAATTAGAGTTTTCTCCGCTGCTTTTTTGTTGTTGAATTAAAGCCAGGCTAGGACTGTTGGGAGACTGTTTCCATTCATCTTAGAATGTCTGTTCTTCCTGGTTTCCTCCTCCTCCTCCTCTGCTGCTAGTCTACAGATGTGTCCCAAATGACAGCCCATCTGGTCAAAAGTAATGCACTAAATTGGGAACAGGGTACCGTTTGGTAAGCAGTCTAAATGATCAACACCTGCACCCTCACTAGAGGAGGAATTACCTGGATTAGCTCACTGCAACAGAAGCATTACACAGTCCTATAGGCAAACACACGCACACACACACACTGCAACATTACACAGTCCTATAAGCAAACACACGCACGCACACACACACACACGCACGCACACACGCACGCACGCACGCACGCACACGCACGCACACGCACACACACGCACGCACACACATGCACAAAGGCTTAAAACAAAAGATTTGTGCCTAGCACTGGGATTGAATCCACCACCCGTGGAGGCGGAGCTCATCTGCCTTCCCCACCTTTGGGAGTACAAGGCTCCCGCCCTCCCATTTCCCGCCAAATTGCCCACGTGTCTCTCTCTCTTAACTACTCCTTATTGGCTACATATAGCACAGTTTGGTGTTGTCATATTTCTAACTACTCCTTATTGGCTAGAAGAGTTTGGTGGCGATACAACGCTTCAAGACTTAAAAACACACTTAGCTGTTTGTTTTAAATTTCTAAGACACATATTAGCAAACTTAGGCATGACATGCCAGCAACAAACGCTGACACTATACATCCAAATATATCTGAACAAATTATGAAAGACAAGCGTTGTAATTTTTAATTCCGTAAAGTGAGTGTGGAAGAGCTGAAAAAAGCATTGCTGCCTATCAACAATGACAAGCCACCAGGGTCTAACAACTTGGATGAATTTCTTTTAATATTTTTTTTATATATATATTTTTTTATTATTATTATATATTTTTTTCATAGCTGCTGTAGTCAACCTCCTCTTGTCTCTGAATGAAGACTAGTGGGTGGGCCGTAGACACCGCCTTGCAGAAGTTGTCGTCATTGTTGATTGGCAGCAGGTCTCCATTGATGTCAGCGTAGCCAATCATGACCTCCATGTTGGCGATGCGGTGAACGTGCATGATGAGCTTATAGAGCTCCTCCAACTTCCCCGGTTTGAAACGGTCCGCGGAGAACCGCCGGAACTCTGCTCCATAATAAATTGATAAGGTCTTTGTAGATCACACACACAGCTGCACTTTCTTTTTGGGGGGGGGTAGATCAGCTTAATATTGCAGATAGATTGTAACTTCCATCAATGTAATTGTCTGCATCACTTCCAATCCCCCATGTTTATATATATATATATATATATATATATATATATATATATATATATATATACTTGGATGGAAAATTACTGAGGATAATAGCGGACGATATTGCCACTCCTATTTGGCATATCTTCAATTTAAGCCTACTAGAAAGTGTCTGCCCTCAGGCCTGGAGGGAAGCAAAAGTCATTCCGCTACCCAAGAATAGTAAAGCCCCCTTTACAGGCTCAAATAGTCGATCAATCAACCTGTTACCAACCCTTAGTAAACTTTTGGAAAAAATTGTGTTTGACGAGATACAATGCTATTTTACAGTAAACAAATTGACAACAGACTTTCAGCACGCTTATAGGGAAGGACATTCAACAAGCACAGCACTTACACAAATGACAGCTAATCATGGCTACCCGGACTATTTGCACTGCCCCCCCACCCCATCCTTTTTACGCTGCTGCTACTCTGTTAAGTATTTATGCATAGTCACTTTAACTCTACCAACATGTACATATTACCTCAACTACCTCAACTAGCCGGTGCCCCCGCACATTGACTCTGCAACGGTACCCCCCTGTATATAAAGCCTCCCTACTGTCACTTTATTTTACTTCTGCTCTTTTTTTCTCAACACTTTTTTTGTTGTTGTTTTATTCTTACTTTTTTTGTTTAAAATAAATGCACTGTTGGTTAAGGGCTGTAAGTAAGCATTTCACTGTAATGTCTGCACCTGTTGTATTCGGCGCATGTGACCAATAACATTTTATTTTATTTTATTTTATTTGACTGATGATTGGCTGAGAGAAATGTATGATAAAAAGATTGTGGGGGCTGTTTTGTTAGACTTCAGTGCGGCTTTTGACATTATCAATCAAGGTCTGCTGCTGGAAAAACGAATGTATTATGGCTGTACACCCCCTGCTATATTGTGGATAAAGAGTTACCTGTCTAACAGAACACAAAGGATGTTCTTTAATGGAAGCCTATCCAACATAATCCAGGTAGAGTCAGGAATTCCCCAGGGCAGCTGTCTAGGACCCTTACTTTTTTCAATCTTTACTAATGACATGCCACTGGCTTTGAGTAAAGCCAGTGTGTCTATGTATGTGGATGAGTCAACACTATAAATGTCAGCTACCAAAGCGACTGAAATGACTGCATTTAAACATTTTTACAACTAAAAAAACTAAAAAAAAATTACAACTAAATCTTGTAATGAATAAAGTGGAAATTGAGCAAGTTGAGGTGACTAAACCTCAACTTTTTGGAAATAGCATTCGCAGACTTACTATCTATCTAGGTTACCTGGCTTTTCACGTCGCATTGGCTCTTGGACAGCTGGTTCTGACCTGAAAATAAGCATGTAAGACTCCTCTATTTTGGAGTCTGATATGAAAGTGGACAGCAAAGCCAAAA